CTAGGCTACTAAAGAGAAAAACTAGACCTCAACCAAAAATGAGGTCAACAAGCACTTTCCCTCTTTACAAGCACTCTCATTTTTCTTTCAGAAACGTAATGAAGAAGAAATATCTCACTTTCCCTCTCCTCTTACAAACCTTAGAAGAAAAGTTCCAAGCCCCTCACTCTATCTCACACCTCACTCTTCTCTCTCACACCATCACCAAAACTCTCTCTCTTGCCTCTCTTTATAACCCTAGACTCCCTCTCTATTTAATTAGGGGTTACCTTATCTCAAAAGGAATTCAAAATTTCCTCCTAAATTCTCTTCAAAAGGCACACCTTTTGAATCCCAAAAGACATGTCCATTCATTCAAGAGACATATCTTATCATTAAAAAGACTTCCAAAGTGTCTAGATGCATTAAATTTCATCCCGAATCGCCTTAATTCATCAATTATCGTCTCTGGCGCTTCAGGCGCCAAGTTACTTAAGTCTGTGTTGTTTTGGGTTCTGATGCTTTAGGGACCTCTTCTCTGTATAATGGCACCTCTGGCGCCAGTTCTGGCGCAGAATCACAAAGTTCTCTATTTTTGCACCAAATTTCCTCATTTTTGCTATTTTTGCTCCAAATGACTAAAATTGATATACTTGCAACAAAAACAAGAAAATATCATTTTTTAAAGTGCAATATCGCCAAAAATAAGCATAAAATTTATACTTAACATAACACATTATTTTTGTTTACCACACTTAAATATAACTCTAAAACATTTGGGTCAAGTACTTTAGCATTATCTATTTAAATATTTAGATTTCTAATTTTAAGAGACATTAGGAAGCTTATCTTTTGATCTTCGGCTTTCATATCATATATCTTGAGCCTTATTCCTTATGAAGATCTTTTGTAATAATTGAATACACCTATATGAATAGATAGCTTTATAACAATAAAACTTCATATAGAGATTTTTTTAAAATTTAGAGTTACATTCAAAATAGATTGATGGTCACCTAGGATGAGATAAGACAAAAAGCTTGATTGAAAGTATATTTTATTAACCTTATATTAAGAAAAATGTGGACAAAATTATATTAAGGTGATAAACCTATAAATAAGCTAAGGCTACCAAAGGTTCAGTTAAGAAATATTGTATAAGAGGATCATGTATATACTTTGTTAGGATTACTTAAGATAACTAGTGGAGTTGATGTTATTTTTGTGATGATGGAGATACTCTCCAAAATGTCTCATTCCCTACTTTACAATAAAGCAAATGTGGCATCCTATATTATAAGATGATTTTCAAAGAGATAGTGAGACTATATAATAAATCCAATACCATAACATTTGATAAATATGTAAAATTAGTTTTATATTTTTAAAAAGGCTCAATAAAAAGTTGAAGGAACTAAGCTTAACTAATTTTTTTGGCCTTTTCCCTCAAATATATTGTCATTTTGAGTTATTCAATATAGCATTAGAAAACTTATTGAGATGTTTAGTAACAAAGAACATATGAAATTATGATTTGCACTTAGCAAGTTCAAAATTTGTTTATATTAGTACTGTCTCAAATATTCAAGATAATCCATACTTGAGATATTAGAAAGTTTTAAATCCTAAAAAATTTGAGAAATAACTCATGTTCCCTCTTATGCAACATTTGACTAAGCACCCACATTTACAAAATATTAAAAAGTTTAATTGAAACTATTAAAAAAATGAGAAGAGTATAATGAAATATGTCGATTTAATGAATAACATAAATAGAATATAATGAATGTGATTATGTGACATTTTTATCAAATATAGAAGAAATTCCTCCAAATTGGAAAGCTCCATGCATAAGCATATGTCCAATTTAAATTTCTATAAATTAGACCAAACAAACATTTTTTATTGAGTTACCACATGACATGCTTTCAAATCATATTTTTAATGTTGGTGACATTCTTGTATATTAAAAAAAATAGAATCTAAAAAGTTTGAGACTAATTTACAAGTAAAGAAAATAACAAAATGTAAGTTGAAATTTAGCTCAATAACTTTGAAGTAGAAGCTACATAGATAAATGAGAGACTAGCTGATGATAGTGTAGAACATAGGTTCCTTATGAGGTGGAACGACCAACTCACTACAAAAGGACACATGACTAATTAAAGCTAACATAAAGTAGTTGACATCAAATATTATGGAGGATTACCTAGACTTAGTCTTTAAAGAAGACATTTTAAAAGGTTACGAAACATGATGCAACACAAATAACATTGCTGTTAGTCGCAAGGGGTTAGAGCAACAAAAAGAACATTGCACCTATCACCAGAAGCAAGGTGAAAACCTTTAAATAAATATTTATTTAAATAAGATTTGAAAGTTTTTAATATGTTATAATTTTAAATATTTAAAACTATTTATGTTTATTTCAGTTTCATGAAATCTTATGGATAAGATTTCAAGTTTTAATTCCACTAGAGTTAAATTTGTGAGTTTATAAATGAATAATGATAAAATCATGATTAAAATTATTAATTACATATAATTATGTAATTAATTAATTAATTATTTTTAGTCATTATGGCGGATATAAGAGAGTGAGGAATCTCTTACCTTAATTCAAAATAAGGCACCGTTTTGTCTCTTTTCTCTTTCATTTATTTATTTTTTTTAGATTAGGGTATGTATGGAAAATAATTATTGGTCATATGCTATTGAAATGTATTATTGTTGATTGAGTTTTAAATTAAAAGTTTATCTTAGGTTATGGAGGCTTGGTTTCCATCACATGTAAGAGGAGATTTAGTGGTCTTGGTCAATCTATCTAGTGAGTAGTAGTTTTATTTTCTTATTAGTTTTTCTTTTTCTTATTGTCTTAGTTTTTTTCTATATAAATCTTGTGATATAGTATATTTATATTTTAAAAACTTTTCACAAATTTTTTCCATAAATATAATCAGATGGCATTGCTGCGAACAACTATGGCTTGCCATAAATAGTGCCTAGTTTTATTCTGCTGGACCTTTTAACACGTCAAGCTCCTTTAAAAATTTATAATGAACTACATATATAATCTAAATAAATTTTTCTATCACTTAAAAGATATTTCCATAATTTTTCTATGCCAAAAACTTCTTTTTAAAAGCCAAACTTTTAAATCCAAGTTATTAGCCGAATTACATTTCGACTTGACCAAATCTAATTCTTAAGTACTAAAAAAAATATCAATTTGCCTTTAAAACTCTCGTATCTTTTTCTTAAAAATATCAAACCACATTTCTCTAAGGTTTTTAATTATTTAGAGACCCTAAGATTATATTTTCTCTTTACATTAAGAATCTAAATATATATATAGAGTCCTCAGCCTGTAGGCTACACATTTTATGCTTGACTTATAACTTGGATTTCATTCTAAATGAATACTAACAAAGTCTAACCCAAGCAAATTACATTTAATTTGTATCCTTTTATGCTTCCTAATACATAAGATCCCACCAGTCCATTCTAATGCGCTTGGCCCTCCATCACTAATTTTAGTTATTCACTATAATATAAACTTGCCTCCAGCTATAAACTAATTTGGTCCAAAAGACTAAAGCTACAACAACAAATCCCTCCTAACCCTGTTAATAAATTGTCACATAAGACAAATCAAACTATGAAGCCCTTTTCCTTTCAAAGGAAAGCCTTTCAATATTGTCATTAGCTTCAATGAGTTGCCCCTCTAGAACTAGCATGTGTTCCCTTAGGAAATCTCATGATTCTCTTAACTCAATTACATTGGTAAACAATCATTCAAGCAAGATACGTATTATAACCACATTACATAGTTATTACAAAGAGTGCATCATAGATTTCTCTGTCTTTCTCTTGAGGAAAAGTGATTAGCATCAATCCCACTAGCACACTCACACATTAACCAGAGGGTCTCATAACGGACCTCAATAGTTATAGCCGCTTCACTAAAATCACTCTAACCGTGTGAAAAAAATGTTAGTTTTTGGAACTTATTATTCTAAAGATTATTAAAGGGCAGCTATATAAGTCATTGAATTAAACCTCTTAAAGATAGAATTCCAAGGTCCAGGTAATAAGAGCTATGATTTTTAAGTTGGATAGACAATAGCCATGATGGCCTTAATTTTATCATAACTTGGTGTTACCTACTTCTTACAGATTCAGATATGCACACATATGCACATGGTTATGGATACCTTATTTTCTTAATTGTTATTTTCTGCAAAGAATTTACTATAAAAATCAATCTTATAAATTTAGATTAATATTTTATTAATTAATTTGTCTGGAGAAATAATTAGTTTAAAAATTCTAGAATAATGATTATGTATAAATTAAAAAAAATGTGAATATATTATATCATAGTTTTAATTTTGCATTAAACATATATTTGATAAAAAAAATATAATCATAAAATGCAACTCTAAGTTTTATATTTAAATTTCAAAAATGTGCATTCTCCATTATCAGCCAAACCGTATTACTTGTATATTTTCAAAATGGCCGTGCTCCTTTATGCGCCAAACTGTATCCTTGTGGTACCTCCGGTGCTTTGCTAAACGCGCTTGGTTGACGATTATATTTAATTGCCATCAGCAAAAAATGTAGATCTGAGATGCTTCTGCGCTATTTAAGGAGATAGAAGCATCGTTATTTCTTCAAATCCTTTATTTTCTTCTCTCCCTTCCCGTTTCCCGTCTGTGAAGTTCCTCTACAAAAGCTTGTCTCCCTTATTTTATCACTCGGCTTGGTGAAGCTAGGCTGCGATCACGCTGAGAAGGTTCTTTGCGAACTTCGTTTCTTCTAATTATTCTTTTTCTTTCTAGCGATTGTTATGTGGATTTTAACAAGGGTTCTTCAAAATGTGATATTTCTAGCCCCCTTTCTTCCCAGATCTGGATCTATGTATAGCTGCAATCTTTTTTTTTTTGCTTCCTTCCTTTTTTTTTAATGTTCTTGGATCTATTGCCACTAAAATCTGTTAATTTTCTTATTTATCTGGATCCGTTATTAGATTATTGAGTGTTGCTGTTACATTTCTAGATCTGTCTGATTTTTGTGGTTTTGTTGTGGATCTGATTTGGGTTTATCATTGTCTTTGCGGATCTGGTTTTCTGCAGCTTTATAAGGGTTTTGTCATTCCGTCGTTCTATTATAATGGAAGAGATTATTGGCTAACTTTTGAAAGACAAGTTTGTTTTTGAGAATGTGGGGAACTTCTTATGATTATTTAACTCATCACATTTTATTCTTGCATTGTATGCACGTAATATGTGGATCTGCACATTAAATTCAGATTTATCTTCATGCTTTTAAAAAACATTTGATATCTTTTGTTTGTTTTAGTTAAAGCATTTAAACTATCCGGAAATCTTTCACTGCTTTTTTTTTCCAACACCTCCAGTGAGTAAACTGAACATACTGTTACGTCTCTGGAAATTGCTTCTATTCCTTTTTTTTTCTATATTTCTGCATACATTTTCCTCTGTAGTTGCTTATTTTTTCTTCATAGTATTCTTCTTTTCAAATAGGATGAAAATTAATAAACTAGAGCTGAGTATTATCTTTTTCAAACATGTTCATTTGTTATCTTATTGAGTTCAGGCTCAGTTTGAACATAAGCCGAGTTTAAAAATCTATTTTATGCTTGTTAATAATTTAGTTATCCAGTTTTAGATGTAGTTGAACTTTTATCTAGCCAAATTAATTTTTTTCTTGTTGCTGTTGATTTAAAACCACATGCTTATTGTTTGACATAAATAGGGTTGAATTATAATTAAAGTTTATATTATTACTAATTTTTAATTATGATCTTTGGTGCAGTTCAATTAATCTATTATAATATATATATCTATATATATATATATATGTATATATAGGCGGGGTCACTGTAAGTCTCATCAGGTCAAGGGTTCGATCCTACCGTGGCACGGGGGCTCTGGAATTTTAGGCACATGGCCCGGGCTCTCATCATAGAGCCAAAAAGTGCATGGGAAATCGATTTCCTTTAAAAAAAAATACATGTAGATAGATACATAGCTTTTTAACTTTTGTCTTCAAAAGGAGAGAAGGGTGGGAGTTGAACCTCAAATTTAATTAAAACAATAGAAAAAATATATTACAAATGGTTGTTAAAGAAAATAGTTCTTAAACACATTTTACATGTAGTCTATGATGCTATAAATATGCATGCAATGTTCGACATGCATTTGATTTGTACATGTGTGCAACACGTGTCGGACATGCATTGCAAGTCAAATTAAAATTAAAAAAAGGGGTTACATCTTTATCCCGCTTCCATCTTATCATCAACTTTATTGGCTGGACAATCCGAATCTATTGGAGTTTATGAAGTTGTTGAGTTACTGCCGTTTCCCTCAATGGTTTCTCAATCCGCAAGTCTTGGTAGAAAGGAGAGGGAGGCCATCCATGTGGTCTAGCTAGGGCTGTCATCAGTTGTTGCACCACTCGTCGTAGAAATCTCCTTGTAAAATGATTTGATGCCATGACCATAAAGGGGCTCCAAAGCCAAGCAATTTATGTTCTTCTCAATTTCCACAAATGCTTTCACATAATGCTGAACAAACAAAATACCGCCGGAGAAGTGAAGATAATTTTCATTAACGTGGCGTCTTCTTTGGCGCTGGTGACATAGAAGTTGAGGTTGAAAATTTTGTTAGTATCTGCCACCTTTGGAAAATTCAAACCGCTTGCAATTTTCTTTGCCACATACTGCAACGTCTCATCATCAAGTGTAGAAGCCTTTGAGCCGTTCCTGTCAACCTTCCTATCACTGTTCTCATCGCCGATTTTGCCGTTCCCTTTGCTATTCCTATTGTCGATTTCACCCTCATTCAGAAGCTTATGAGCTATTCCTGTCACCTATTTTGTCATCCTCGTCTCCGTTCCTATTGTCGATTTTTCCTCAATCGATCTCTCGCCTAACAGAAGCATCAAAAGGAGTTTGGTGATACCCTGCAGGCTGCAACCTCCATTTCCATGTCTCGAAGGTTGGCGCAGGATTTGACAAAAATGGAAGCTCGAACAGGAAGTAGACAGAGTAAGTAGTAATATTAAGTTTCGGGTGTGAAATACGTAAACTTTATTTTTTAACTGCCTCCATTTCCATGTCTCGAAGGTTGGCGCATGATTTGACAAAAATGGAAGCTCGAACGGGAAGTAGACAGAGTAAGTAGTAATATTAAGATTCGGGTGTGAAATACGTAAACTTTATTTTTTAACTTCCTCTATATGTAAAAGCCTTTAAAAAAATTGTAAACACGTGTCCTAAAATTATATTTAATTTTTATAAATAACAACAAAATGTATAATAAAATATTAGATTTTGATGATTAATGTCGCATCAAATAAATTATATATATATACACACACACGCACATCCCATCTTTATAAAAAAAATTTTATGATCATTCTTTTTAATTTTTTGCTAAATTTTGATCATTCTTTTTTTTCTTATACTTAATATTTTTTAGTTTTTTTTTGTTTAGTTTTGATTTATGAATTTTATAATAAATTTTGTTTATCATTCTTAAATATATTATTTTAAAATCTTATAATGTTAGGATCTTTTTTATTTATTTAATTTGTGTGATAGAAAAGTACCGCTTAGACTGAAAGTAAAGTTTTATAAGACAGTGGTGAGATCAATAATGCTCTATGGTGTTGAATGTTGGCCTTTAAAAGAGAAGCATAATTCTAAGTTAAGTGTTGCCGAGATGAAATGATTAGGTGGATGAGTGGCTTTACACTTAGAGACAAAATGCGAAATGAATATATCCGTGATAGGGTTGGTGTAGCTTTTGTGACGGACAAAATTAGAGAAAGTCGTCTTAGATGGTTTGGTCACATTAAGTGCCGACCATCTGATGATTTATATTCGACTTATGTTAAGAAAGGAAGAGGTAGACCTAGGAAGACTTGGGCTTATTGTATAATGATCTTAATTTATTAGAACTAAATGTAAATATGACACTAAATAGGATGCAATGGAGAAAAAGGATTCATGTAGCCGACCCCACATAGTGGGATTAAGGCTTTGTTGTTGTTGTTGATGTTGCTGTATAAGTATGTATATAATAATACTATGTCGCTGAATGTTGGCCTTTAAAAGAGAAGCATAATACTAAGTTAAGTGTTGCCGAGATGAGAATGATTAGGTGGATGAGTGGCTTTACACTTAGAGACAAAATGCGAAATGAATAGATCCGTGATAGGGTTGGTGTAGCTCCTATGACGGACAAAATTAGAGAAAGTCGTCTTAGATGGTTTGGTCACATTAAGTGCCGACCATGTGATGATCCGATTAGGAGAGTAGTTGTTTTATATTCGATTTATGTTCAGAAAGACAGAAGATGACCTAGGAAGACTTGGGTTTATTGTATAAAAAATGATCTTAATTTATTAGAACTAAATGAAAATATGACACTAAATAGGACGCAATGGAGAAAAAGGATTCATGTAGCCGACCCCACGTAGTGGGATTAAGGCTTTGTTGTTGTTGTTGTTGTCGTTGTATGCATATAATAATACTATGTCGCGTGTCCCGGCTCTATATTTTGATAATTAGCCATGTCCCTTGAATGTATTGTATCATGTTAGTATCGATGTATCCTAGTTAACCAAATGAACATAAAATATAACTTGGTGATTGTGTGATGAGTATCCAATGAAATATACATAAGTTTGGCAAAATATTCCAAAACCCAATAACTATCTTGTGAGACAACATGATTGCAATACAAATTAACAAGAGAGGAAGCATCAGAGAGAAAATTCAACTGAGGGTAACTAAATTTAAAATTTAGTCAAAGAGATTTCAAGGGATCAAATCGTAGAGTGTCTAATCTCTCATCTTTGCTAATAAGAAAACACTAGAGATGTAGGCATGACAAAAAAAAAAAAACATAAAAAAATAGGATTCAACGATTAGAAGTATCCCAAAAAAGCATAGGATTCAAAGAAAAGGAGTATACCAAAAAACCAAAAATTTTAATAGGTGTGTTGAATAGAAGAAACAAAAGAAAGCTGCCAAGGCGAGAGCCATTACAATAAAACCAGGGAAGTCAAAGTGAAAACATATGTATATAAAATCTTCCCGCCAATCTCATATAGAAATGATATTATGTCCAAAACCGTTGCAATGGAATAAATTGAAAACTGAAACAAGGCTAGACGAAAAGTAGCTATCTATGGAAAGTGGGCCAATAAAGAAGCTGAAGAAGCTGCCATTGTAGCATGTCCAAATACAATAAAAAAGTAGACATTAGTGCAGAGTATCCACTTGAGAGATAGACCGTATATAATCATATCTAAACTAATGGGAACAAGGTTTTGAAAGTTTTGTGATATCTACCTAAATATTTCAAATTTTTTGTCTAGCATTTTAATTGGAATTTCACTTTATAATAACAGTGAATGATCTTGAATTATTTTTTCCATGAAGTTTATAGATGCGTGCTCTCAAATTCTATATGCTAGACAAATACTGGTCGTGACGCTGAGGTTTTAAAGGGTTGAACTTGTCATATTCCATTCCACATACTGCAATAGTAGGTTAAAGGTGGGACATAAGAGGAAAGCGTGCATAAATGGCATTCAGAATTTCATTAATTCATAAAGATTAGCTAAAAAGGAATTGGTCGGAGGATTAATTCATCAAATTATAAAATAAGTATTTATAACTAACCAAGATATTATGTTAGTTGAGGGTTAGTAATGTTGAGACCCCACTTTGTAAGTAATAAATCATATATGGAGAATCTTAATGTATAATGATATGCCCAGTCATTATATTCCTGTGAATATTCTGCTAGTGAGAATGTTGATATACCTTGAAATATATAAGGTAAGTTCTTATTATTTTATATGATCTCATTTTCATCAGAAGTAAAGGCGACATTTACATATGTTCTATGGATGATATTATATTTACTTTATGGGCTTACATTTTAAGAAGCACCATAGATAATTGTAGAGTGGTGTTTTTCTAGTCAATTGAAGATATGAGAGAACAGCTTAGCCAAACAATTCCAGGAAACGCTTGTCTTTTGAATCATGAAATAAAGCAAAGATCAGCCACAACCAACAATGTAGATGTTAGTTCTATATTTTTGAGCGATTTTGGCTATGCCTTTTGAAATTTGAGTAAATAAAAATCTGTTGGTACCATTTATTGGAATATTTTGCTTTAACCAATAGCTAATGCAGTCAGATTCTTTTAAGTTGTCTGAAACAATTTTAATTTTGCAAGCATACTTTAGAATGTACCGGGAAGGAATCTGAAGTATCTTTTATCATAGGCGCAAAATTATTTTACCATGATATAAGGTGTGTGAACTTAATTGCATCGAGTACATCTATCGCAAAGGAAGTTGGAGCAATTTTTTTTTAATATTCTAAATATAATTCTTAGGAAGAAAAATGTTCTAAACCAATACACACAAAGTTTCAAAATGAGAAAATTAATCAATTGAAGCCTACAAAACAAAAGAAACTGTTTGGACTTGCTGCTATACGAGTATACTAAGGGTCTGTTTGATGCAGCTGCAACTTATTGAATAATCTGCTGATAAACTAGGTGCGGTAGCTATTATAAATTTTTATTTTTTTCGAAAAGCCAGACCTCAGCCAGAAAACTATCACCACACCTAGACATGTTCGGTGTGAAAACGTTGTTTTCAGTGTTTTGAAAACGCATAGGCTGCCAAACAGCACTTAACGCAGTTTACCCAAACAGCTAGGTGCGTTTTCAAAATGCCACCACACCTCAGAAGTCAGTAGTTTTTGATTTTGAGCTATATATAAGAATGCTCGGATAATAGATTGACGAGTAAATAATATTTGAAGCTAATCTTGGCATCAAGTGAGGTAAATCGAATAGTACTTTTGGAGAAACAAATATTGATTTTGTGAATAGTAATCATTAGACAACAAAGTATGAAATTTGTGATTTAAGGCATGCGAGATACATATGCCAACCTTACCAAAAATGAAAATGTCATTCACATATAAAAGATGAGAGAGTTTTGAGTAATCGCTGGAGATCTTTTAAGAGGGTAGAAGATGTGAGATTGTCATGCACAAGCATTTTGCTACAGAATCATTGACTAAGAAAAAAGCTAGGTGGGAATTAGAATTTCCGTATCTTAAAGTTGAACCAAGACACTTTCAACTTTGTCATTACAACAATAACAACAACAAGCTTTTTTCTTATTGAGTGGGGTCGACATGAATCATTTTTCTCCATTTTATCTTATTGAGCGTCATATTTTTATTTAATTCTAATAAACTATGATCAGTTTTATACAGTATGCCCAAGTTTTTTTAGGTATATCGCTACCCTTAAAATAAGTCAAATCTAAAACATATGCTCTCCTAACTGGACCATCAGATGGTCGACGTTTAATGTGACCAAACCCTCTAAGACGACCTCTCTCTCTAGTTTTATCTGCCATTGGAGCCACACCAACCCTTTCATTGATGTATTTGTTTTGCATTGTCTCTAAGTGTAAAAGCACTCATCTACCTAAACATTCTCATCTCAGCAGCAGCAGTAAAATAATTAGACTCTAATCCAAGAAATAAAGAGAGACGATAATATTATTGAAGGAAATCTCTGCGAACATAGCTATATGCTTTTATATCTCTATTTTGGTTATAAAATGTACCATACCCGTTTCATTTGTTGAAGTCTTTCACGACATGAATTTTGTCTGACAAGTCCTATTGGGTAAGGTGAATGATTTCAAGCATAATAGGCTTAAAGATGGACAGGTACGGTCTTAGGCTCGTAGCTTTTAATATATAAAAGTAGTTGTATAAAGAAATAAACATTAACTTCGGTAGCTAGGGATGAGGATAAATAGCAATTGCTTTGACATTTTTTGAGAAACTTTTTTTTTTAAATAATTTATTAATTCTGTGAAAACTTGATATCCAAGCATATCCCAGACATATATGAAGAATTTTGTAGTGAAACTATGAGTGGCAGGGAAAACAAAAACATATATTGAAAATTTTGAGAGGCAAATTTACCTACTGAATTTAAAACAAAGTGAGATGCATGTGAGGAATTTATTTAGTTTAAAGTAATAGATTGTAGCATTAGTGATGTCAATAATGATGGAGGAACCATAATAAGTGTTATTTTGTTTTGGCTCTTTCAATTACCCTCTCCGTAGGTTGGCTTCCTATTTTGTTTTGGCTCTTTCAATTACCCATGTTGTATGCAAATTGTTTTTATTGACCAATGGATTATGAATAAGCTTGGCTTCATAATTAAAGAAGTAATCAATGGGATTGATGCCCAGGTGAAGATGAACTTTGAGTTGATTGTTTTAAGTTAATTGGGGGATTCAGTGATCTTCGAAGCATATGGAACAAAACTTGGTTTTTAAAGCACCATCACATAATGAGATCCCCAATGGCGGGGATGCTCTAAATATTACTGTGAAGATCTTTGATGTTAGAATGGTAACCCAAAATGTTCTTTGAACCATTTCAATGAATTTGAGCTCTAGTGAAGGTGCTTATTGGAGACTAATCAAAGCTCACTGGTGGAAGGATTTTATTATAAGATAGGTGAATAATATCCAACTGAGAGAAGTGAAAAACATTTTTAAGCATGTCGTGATAGATGACTCATGGGAGCTGTTGAACCGATTGTACGAATTGCCAATAGATAAACTCATCTCATTGTGCCGAAGGAATCTGATGTAGTTAAAAGGACCCTCGTCATAATCGAGCATTATTAATGGAGGAGGCAATATGCCCAGTGGTAGACTAGAGGTATTTCTTGTCATTTTGTGAAGTAGAAACATAAGCTTGTAGTAGTAGAAGGCATAGAACCAATACTAACCATTTCACCTTGGAGCACGGATTGATCCATGTCCCACCATTGCTGCCAAGAAGGAAAATTGAGACAACCATCTTCATTTTTGAAAATCTTATGTGCATTGATAAAGTAAAGGTCAATTAATGGAGAAACATACTTTTTGTTTGATACTTCATCATATACTTAAACCTCAATTACTATGCATATAGTTTTTAAAACGTGTTAGATATGAGAAAATTGATATTCAAAATAAATCAATTAATGAGTAATTAAACAACTTGAAGCAGACATTTTGTTGTGATCTTAGTTAGCAATTTGTTGAACAATAGATGATTTCGTTCATGAACATAAATGAATGAGCTTGTCAAAGTTCATGTTTGCTCATTTTTATGTAGATTTCTCAAAATTATGTTCAAATTTATTAATTTACTAAAATAATCGACATGAGAGTATAATTTCCATTGAGTATACTAAATCACTGAGAACCTTCTGCTTAGATTTGTTATGCCTTTTTTCAACGGCCATAAATTTTGCCCCAATTTCGAATTCAGTTCTGTTCCAGTTACCATCCTGATAATCCAATCCTTGGATTTCTGGGATTTTTCGTATGAATGAATGAAAACTGTGTTAACTTTATGGTTCCCAGGTAAAAAGTACAAAGAATCCCGGCAATCCAAATTGAGATTGGATGGCTGTCTACTTATTAGATAACTGAAGAGGATCTAAAATCCTAACTTCCTTGTTGCCCATATTCTTTTTTGAACTATTCCTTATTTTTCATTTGCTGTACTCGACAGATTTGAATCATCTGAAAAAATGCTATGATTTTCAAGGCCATCTAATCTGGATTGGATGGCCAGAAATTCAATAAACACTTTGTGGTTTGTTGCTCCTCAACGAGGAGGTATCCAACGCTATCTGGAGGTTACTTTTGTGCTTTATTCATGATAGTTTGATGCCATTATTTTTCCATCCATATCTCAGAATGAGATCATATAGACGACATTAGGAAAACAAATTTTAACATTTTCTTTTTTATTTATTTCTGTTTATTAGGAGGAGAAGATGGTGAAGATCTGCTGCATTGGTGCTGGCTATGTGGGGGGTCCAACCATGGCTGTCATTGCTGTCAAGTGCCCAACCATTGAGGTGGTGGTTGTAGACATCTCTGTTGCTCGCATTAATGCGTGGAACAGTGATCAGCTCCCTATCTATGAGCCAGGCCTTGATGACGTCGTGAAGAAGTGCAGGGGGAGAAACCTCTTCTTTAGCACTGAAGTGGAAAAGCACGTGTGTGAGGCTGATATCATCTTTGTCTCCGTGAACACACCCACCAAAACTCGTGGTCTTGGAGCTGGCAAGGCTGCTGATCTTACCTATTGGGAGAGTGCAGCCCGCATGATAGCTGATGTCTCCAAATCTGATAAGATTGTTGTTGAGAAATCTACAGTCCCTGTTAAGACTGCCGAGGCCATTGAGAAGATCTTGACACACAATAGCAAGGGAATTAACTATCAGATCCTATCAAACCCAGAGTTTCTTGCTGAAGGTACGGCGATACAAGATCTTTTCAATCCCGATCGCGTGCTTATTGGGGGTCGAGAGACCCCTGAGGGCCAAAAGGCTGTGCAGGCCTTGAAGGATGTTTACACCCAGTGGGTGCCAGAGGGCCGTGTTCTTACCACAAATCTGTGGTCGGCTGAGTTGTCAAAGCTTGCAGCCAATGCTTTCTTA